TCTGTAGTCATCAATATGAAGACGTTGTAAACATGGCAGTTCTTCCCAAATTGCTTGGAACATTTATCCTAATTCCAATAAAAAGTCCAATTGAATTTCTTTTTGCAAAAATACGAAATGGCTCAGAACTTGAGAGCTTGGAACATGCGGGCTTCTGAAGCTGTCGTGTTATGAGATCGAGGTCGTCACCTTCTTTCACTCTTCTCGAGCGCCCAGTTGCACTTCACTATCACTTCCCACTCGTCTCCCATAGCTTCCCATAATTTCCACTTGTGAATACAGCAGAGGCTAATTTTTTTCTCCTTTCTTCCTATCTCTGAACGTGAAGTGGCCTGCTTCGTGGGTAGGCTCATTTCTCTACATCTGCTCCTTGAGCCTGTACCCTCATACTTCTTCAAGGTCTTTACATTCTTCTTCTCTCCTACATCTGTAGGTTCTTTTTGTTTATTTGATCTTTTGTTTTTGTTTTTTAAATTTTGTTTGTTTGGAGAGGAGGGGGCTTATTACCCTCTCTCTGTCTCTGTCTCTTAAGGAGTCTTTCCCTGAGCAGAGTCTTGAGGTATTTAACTTCCTGCTTCCTAGCTGAGACTTTCCCATGCTAAGTTCTGACATAGCAATGAACACAGACTTTTACCTCAGAATGCAACCTTTTGGGACCAAGAACTCTCCAGAAATCTAAATGGTTTTAGCATCAGTTCTATGGTGGTGTTTCACTGTACCCTTCAGGGGATCTTATCTGTGTCTAAACCTGTAATATCGACCCCTGTTTGGAAGTACCACAGTGAACCTCACACTTTAATTATAGCAGACAATTCATTGTGCCTCTGACATATTATTTATTTTTAGAATAGCACACTTTTGTGCTTTACCATTCTGCGTTCCTAAATATTCTCTTCTTAACAGTCAAAGCTCTACTTATCCTTCAGCTACCATAGAGCCTCTCTTTCTCACTACTTCCAGTAAAATGTCCCAGGATTGAGGATTATTGTTAAGCCATGAACCTCTGTGGTCAGGGGTATGCAATACGCTGCTAAGTGCTTCCCCCTCAAGTCCCAGAGATGGTATTGAGGCCGTGCCAGTGAAACTGAATGGGTTGAGAAGGAGTGGTTCCCTAGAGAAAAAGAGGGTCCTGTGACCAGAAGAAGTGGCATTGGAAGAACAGATGATGTTACTCTTAGGTTTGATATCAGCTTTAAGAATGAAACATGTAGTTAGGCTGTAATTTATGTGATTACATCAAAGAAAAACATCTGTGTAGGTAAGCAATTCTGAATGCATTTTATATACATAAGGGGTTAGCTATTGGAAATTTTATTAGGGAAAATAAAGACAAAAGTTGTAAATGAAGGATTTTTATATATTGTGATATATTTAGGAAGCATATGTGAACATCTTTAGTTTTACAAGTCTGTTCAGAACTTGAATTAATATAAATATTCTTTATATTAATATTTAATATTTATATCAATAAAATATGTAAATATTCTTTCTATTATTGGCATAATGCAAAATATGCCAATAATATAAAGATGTAAAAAATATGTATTATTGTAATATATAATAATACGTAAATAAAAGAATGTAAAATCAAATGAAATCTAAACACTAGGTTCTAGTCACAAAATATGTATTTACTGTACATATTTCCTGATGTATTGCCTACTAAAGCTTTTCTTTTAAAAAAAATTAATTTTATAGAAAAGGAGAAGGAATTTTTAAATCTGACAACATTTCTACTATATCCATCCTAAAAGATGTTCTCTCTAAAGAAGCTACAAAAAGGAAAATTAACCTCAACATATCATACGGTAAAAAAAAAAAAAGAAAAATGAATCATTCTTTTTGGGGGTTTTTTTTGGTGGTGGTCGTTACAATAAGAGTGTTTCTGATCAAAGTGACTTATCTAATTGTGCCTGGCTCCATCCTTCTAGAGATAAATGAAGTATCAGTCAAACACACTTTAAAGCTAATCCACCCAAAGCTGGAGTACCAGTTGCTTTTGGCTAAGAAAGTGCAGTTAATTGATGCTTTAAAAGTAAGTAAATGTGTCATGGACTCATGATCATTATTTTATTGTGATGGGATTTCTAAAATTGTAAAGACTTTAAAGCTCCACTGGATTGAATTTTGAACATTAAGGTGCTTCTGTTTTTCATTTTAAATAAGGAATTGCAGGTTCATGAGGGAAATACAAACTTTCTGATACCAGAATATCGCTGTATTCTAGAGGAGGCAGATCACCTACAGGAAGAATACAAAAAGCAGCCCGCACATCTGGAAAGACTCTATGGTGAGTGGACATGAAATAACGTGCCGTATTCCTTGTCTACTGGCTATTTGTGGAGGATCATGTGAGAGAAGCTGGGCAGGAGGGGACACGCAAAGATTACAGCAGTCACGAACCAGTGACAGCCAATTTAGTGCGCAGAATGTTTATTTTGTCGTTAGTTTTAGTATTGAATATTTATACTTGATAAAATGCAAGTAAAAATTAAGAAGTGAAGTAAGCGTATTGCAGTGAATTAATCTATATATATGAAAAAATCTGATGTGAAATGAATATGACCTTTGGAGCATTAAAATTTAGGCTATATTTCACACAAATAATTTTCAGGTTTTGTTCAAAACTCGTTTTGCTTTGGTGGTGAGAAGTTGAGTGTTTCACAAATTATTGAAAAACAGTGGGAGCAAGAGGGAGATGAGAGGAGGGAGAGGGGGAGGAAGGAAGGAACAGCTTAAGAAAAACATTTTATTTTCAATCTTTACATAAGACTTATTGTGCATAGCACAGCTATTTGTTGTAACATCCTCATAATCAGGTGGGATATTTAATCCTTACAACTTGGCAAGGTAGATGGTGTTATCTCCATTTTTCACATTTTTTAACTGGAATCTAAAACTAAAGAATTGGTTGTTACATAGGTACTTAGTGGCAAAGCCTACATTATAACTTCCATGCCCCAAAATGCATGCTTTTTTGCACTATGCCAAGTCTTCTGTAGAGTCGGGTGGTGTCATCAATCTACACTGAAGCTTGCCTAATGAATTCCTTATTTTATACCCAGATACATGCTCACAAACTACAAGAATAATATCTAATATCTTACTATTTACTATATGGCAAACACGTGATCTTTTATCCTTAGAACAACTTAGAAGATGGGTGATACAGACCACCATCTCTTATCACCAATTCCAAAATCCAGAAAGCTTTGAAAACCAAAGCTTTTTTCATAAATCATTTGGCAACAAATCTGACATATCTGAATTAATTTAATGACAAAACTTCACTTAAACTGACATGAGGTTATTTATGTTCTTTTTTATTGCACTTAGTGTAAATATTTATGTATATATTTTGTTGCAGAAACATTGCTCTGTCTTGTTGTCAGGTGCTGCCAGTCACTCCTCTTGGGGATTATGCCATATATAGTATATTCCTTTTATTATATTCCTAAAATATGAAAAATTCTGAAACACATCTTGCATCAAGGGTCTTGGATGAAGAATTGACAGCTTGATTCCCATTGTACATATGAGAAAAGTCAAAGGTGACATAATTTGCCCAGATCTTTGAACCCAGGAATATTTGTTCTTCAAGTCACATCCCGAGAATGGTCACTATATAATGGAATACTTTAATTCAAATAAAGCTGTTAAGAACAGAATCTGTCTACACTATGTCAAAATGGTCAGCTTGGTAGGAAAAACAAACTACTTGTTGTGATGTTATATATGCCAATAGCAGTTCAAAAGTGGCCAGCAGTTGGTTGTCTGAATTAATAGCTTGTAACCAATTGTTAAGACAGTTATTAGCCAAATGATTTATATTTTGAAACTTGTCTTAAAATCCCCCCAAAATAAATATTTTTTAAGCATCAATCCTTTTAGGTTTGTGTATATTAAATAATGGAATTATGGGTGCTTAGAAATAGATTCTCAAGCAATTACTCACTTAGATTAAATACTGTGTCATTAATTGAACTAACATTTTTCTTTGTAGGCATGATCACTGATCTTTTCATAGATAAGTTCAAGTTCAAAGGGACCAATGTGAAAACCAAAGTACCTCTTTTACTGGAGATTCTGGACAGTTATGACCAAAATGCATTAATTGCTTTCTTTGATGCTGCATGAAATATAAACAAGCTAAAGTTTCAAAGAAGTCTCTTTAAACAAAAAATCTTAAAACAGAATTACAAGTTAATTGTACCTACTTTTATTTCAAATGCTGTTTATAATATCATCTAAAAATATTTGAGGTATGACTTTTTAAAGTAATGCTTTTTGACAAATGGAGCTTTTTAAAAATAAAAAGAATTTTTTAAGAAAAAACAAGTGGAATGATTATAAGAGACTTGTGAATATTTTGTAAGTGGATTTTTTTTTTAAATTGAGAAATAATATTTGGAAAATAAAAATATATTCAAATATTTAACAAACTACACCCACATATGTGTAAACTGCTTTACAGTTTTCAAAAATGTATTTACATGTTACTTCATTTGATCTTCACAACATATATTTATGTGAATAGTGCAGAAATAGTGATGGCTGCTTAGATTTTCTGCACTGGTATCCACTAATTTCCTTTTTATCATATATGGAGGGAAATATGACTTTAAGAGTATCAAAGTTTTGTTCATTAATCTTAATTTGTATTTCATATTCAGGGGAATATTGTATTTAAAGGTTGTTTTAAAATGCTATAAAGATTATAATGGGAAATAAGCTATTCTTTCTATTTTCAAGAAGGGCACGCTCATGAATTTGAGAGAAAACAATAATGCTTCTTAATTATATACCATTATATTTATTAGTTATGTGCAAGCTTTGTTATATATTAAATGTGAAAATTTGTTGAAAGCACATATCACTAAGAGTTTTATTTTAATAAGGTCATATTGTTTTTACTATTTTTAAATCACCTTCATTTCTAAACGGAACACAATTATGTCTAGGTCACTAGAATTTCACTGGGTGTTTTCTGTTGACCCAACTTGGGGAAAAATAGATAAAAATTAATGACTGTCTAGTTGAATTTCTTGTAGTACATTCCTATTTGTGATATATATCAAAAGTGGTTCAAGGTGGCACCTTAAATTAATTGCATCTTCATTAGGAAAAATAACAAGCCTAAGACTGAAGAAACCCCTAAATGGTAAGATGACATTAATATAGTCTGCCACTTGAGTGCCAGTTACTGCGTGAGCCGCGCGTTAAGTGATTTCCGCACATCACTGAATCCAGACCACAGCCGTCTGACGTGTGCCCAGCGTTCCTCCCGGGAACAGATGAGCGGATGACCCGGCGGCCGTGAAGACACCAGGCCAGCGAGCGGCCGTGAAGACTTTAGACCTTGGGAAACAAGTCAGTCACGCTACCTGGTGGTCCCAGGGCTAAAGGCTGGGGCGGCCCACTAGTAATTGATAAAGTTGAATTCAGTTTACCCTAGAAACAGCGCTCGCCCTGAGCCCGCCTAGTGACTCCGTTTAAAGTCACCCTAAGCTCAGGCCCCGCCCCTCCGGCCGCGCAGGCGTCCTTTCTCCCGCCGCCGTTCGACGTTTCTCCGCCCCGCCCTTGCTCGGTTGCCTTCGCCGCCGTCTTCACTCGCCTGCGACCGCGTCGCCTCTCGTGACGTCACGGGCTCCGGCCCTGTTCATTGGTCCATTTCAATAGTCGCGGGATACTTGAACTGCATGAACAGCCGCCGCTCCGGCGGGCTGCTCGCTGCTTCCCCGGTGTGTCTTTGGCTCTCCACGCCCGGCAGTGCCTGTGTGCGCCTTTCGCAACTTCTCCGGTCCCACGCGATCACAAGCGGGCGGGCAGGCTGGCCCGGGCTGCGGCGGGCGGCTACGGCTGGAGCGTTCCTCGGCGCGGTCGGTCGGCGGGACGGAGTGCACGCTGCTTGGCGCCGCAGGCTGATCCCGCCGCGCCCCCGGGAGCAGTGATGCTGGGCAGCTCCGCGCCCGGGCCTGCGGCCCGCGAGGCGGGTTCGGCGCTGCTAACATTGCAGCAAACGGCGCTCCAGGAGGACCAGGAGAACATCAACCCCGAGAAGGCGGGGCCCGCCCAGCAGCCCCGGACCCGGGCCGGGCTGGCGGTACTAAAGGCCGGGCACCCTCGCGGTCCAGCTCCGCAGCAGAGGCCCAAAACGCGACGGGTAAAGAGAGAACTGCAGGAGGGTGGGCCAAGCAGGAGTTTTGCATGGGTTTAGCAGGCAGAGGAGAGTGACGAGAAGGAGGCCTGGGTCTGGAGTCCCCTTGATCCCTGGTTTCCTGGCATGGGATGCCACTGTGGTAGTTTCTCCCATCACTTTCCTTGCCCGCACTGTGCATTATGTTGCCTGTCTGATCTCTATTGGAAGTATTTTTCTATAATGGGTCAAACCAAGCCCTACAACATAAGCGTGGTCTTTGCACACCTCTGTGCCTTCCTCTCTGCTTTTAAACCTCAGGCACTGCTCTAGGACCCAGACCCCCTTTCTCCTCCCCATATGGTTAAGAGATTACCTCTACTTTAGGAAATGGTATAAAAAAATACTTTGCTTTTGGTAAATTCCGCCATTTTACCGGATTTGCTCTGTTGCTCCACCCTGGGGCGAAAGTGGTGAACCAACACTTTTGCCATCTCTCCTAAACTTTTCATCTCTCGGCCTGCCACTCCACCCATCGTGTGGCCTTGATTAGTTTTGCATAATTGCACTTAGTATGACTCTTTCTGTAACCTTCGTAGGAATGCCTGTGATAAATTAGAACATCCCTTCTTTCTTCGACTACTCAAACTTCCTTGCCTTTGCCCCAGAAAGTTTAATTTTCCTGATAGAGTATTTGGGAGTAAAAGCAGAGGCTGAGACCCATGAGGGAAGAAAGCAAAAGTCCATTTAATAGGCTCAAAGCCAGTTATTCATTTGTTTTTAGGTTGCTCCACTTAAAGATCTTCCTATAAATGATGAGCATGTCACTGTTCCTCCCTGGAAAGCAAACAGTAAACAGCCTGCATTTACCATTCATGTGGATGAAGCAGAAGAGGAGCCACAGAAGAGGCCAGGTGAATCTAAAAAAACAGAATGCGAAGATGCCCTGGCTTTGAATTCAGCTATTACTTTGCCTGGACCAAGAAAACCACTGGCACCTCTTGATTATCCAATGGATGGTAGTTTTGGTAAGTTTTAAAGAACATCTGTTTTGAATCAATGTAATTATAATTATTAAACAGATTGGATTAATGATATTTCACATTTCAAGACGTTATCTTACCTGATCCTTACTACATAGTGTTATAGGTTTAATGTAACATGTTTAGAAAGGGTGTGACTTAGTCCTAATCAGGTGGTCCTTTTGGTACACTGCCAATCACATCAGTTTAATTAAATCTCAAACACTTATTTTAATCTGATCCTGGAAATGTTTGCTTGATTGGGAGAATAAATTTCAGTTGTATTCATAAGACTCACTTTGTACATACCACTTCAGAGAATGCTATTTGAGGATGCAGCTTTAAATATTGTGAGATCTATTTTAGCTTTAAATTTTTTCCAGGTTTAAAATTTTTTTCTGTAAAACTGGTCTGAGTGATCATCTGATACCAGAGAGGGATGTTGTCCTCCTATGAGTCAATATTCGAACCGTGGCTGTTTGCACTTAACCACGTGTAAAATGAAGTAGCTGCCATGGACAGCTGTGCCCACAGTTTGTGCTGCTTCTTTACCATAGGCTTGTTGAGTCACTGGACAGCTCACTAAAGCCAATCTAGTTTTAGTTTTACTTCTACTGATGAGAGGTAGTCTGGGAATGGAAGGAAAGTCCTTTGGAAATAAAATAATTTGTGTGTTTTTATTTAAAATTTGCAACAAATTTTAACCTCAGTGCACCGTGAAGTAAAAAGAATAATGGATGATATTCTTTGCTTCAAAAGATAATTTAAAAATACAAAAAATGAATAACTTGATTGTAGTGTTAATTTGTTTGAACTGCCCATAACAAATCCAATTTTCTCATCAACACATTTCTTAGCCCTGCTTCTAGTTATTGCCTAGATCATGCTTTGAATGTGTCTGATTTTGGGGTCTGCAAACTCTGAGGGCAAATCCTAGATATTATCTCAAAACTTGGATTTTCAGTCTGTCCTAACAGATCTACTGTGCCATCTGCTCCTCTCTCATGGAAGATGAATGATACTTTAACATAAGGCCTGATCCTCGATCTCATTTTCTTGTTAGTGGCCTATCAGTATTTTTTCTTGTTAACTCAAATTGTTCCAAAGTTAAGTGGACAGATGTACTAAAACCAGTGTGAAATGTTCTCTGAACTTTGTCATGAAGAGCCCTTTTTAGTTGGATGAAGTAAATGCTTTCGTAGTATGGGACTCCTTACAAGGGCAATCACTTTTACCTATTAAATGGAAAATTAAACAATGAACTTAATCACACTTTTGAATTCTCTTAGAGTCACCACATAATATGGACATGTCAATTGTATCGGAAGATGAAAAGCCAGTAAGTGTTAATGAAGTACCAGACTACCATGAGGATATTCACACATACCTTAGGGAAATGGAGGTAAAGAATCTCTGAATCCACTTTTTTTTTTTTTTCTGATGAGGAAGATTAGCCTGAGCTAACACGCGTACCCATCTTCCTCTACTTTATATGTGGGATGCCTGCCACAGCATGGCTTGACAAGCAGTGCATAGGTGCATGCTGGGATCTGAACCTGCAAAGCCTGGGCCGCCAAAGCCGAGGGCATCAACTTAACTGTTATGCCACTGGGCCGGCTCCTGTATCCACTTTTTATACTGTTATTTATTCAATTGGAGAAATGAAATTGAGAGGATTATGTTTTTAAGTTTTTTAACTGCTAGTAAATTACTCTAATCTATACTTGTGTTTCTAGCACCTAGCATCTTTGTTAATGGAAGAATCTAATTGCAATTTTAACACTATACTAAGTAACTCTCTCAACAGGTTAAATGTAAGCCTAAAGTGGGTTACATGAAGAAACAGCCAGACATCACTAACAGTATGAGGGCTATCCTTGTGGACTGGTTAGTTGAAGTAGGAGAAGAATATAAACTACAAAATGAGACCCTGCATTTAGCTGTGAACTACATTGATAGGTTCCTTTCATCGATGTCCGTGTTGAGAGGAAAACTTCAGCTTGTGGGCACTGCTGCTATGCTGTTAGCCTCGTAAGTCAAGCTTGGTTTGTTGGATTAGAAGTGATGAGTACCCTTCGGGTAGGGAAGAAATTATGATTTTTAACAGTGGGACGTTTTAACATACTACACAAGGCAGAGAGTCAGTGACTCCTTTATGGGTGACGGTGTGTATGAAACTTTTTTAACATTAATTTTCCCAGATCTGGATTTCAGAGTACCTTCTTGAATGAACTTGGAGACAGTCTACATTTTAATACACTAGTACCAGATTACAAAGTTTAAAAATATGGTTCCTTCCATTAAAAAGTGCTTTCTGGCATATAAGCAAAATCTTATCTTCCCATTAAGACATGAAAACTAAATTTAAAAACTAAAACATAAAACGTTTATTTTTCTCTAAGAAAATTTCCTAAAATTTCAGTCAGTTGGTGAACTCTGGCATCGTTCCCGTTTTGGGAAGTCTCTAGCCTCTCATTTATTTCCTTTGCACTGGGAGAAATATCTCAAAAGCCTTTTATTGATTTGGGTCTTTCAATTAGCATTTACCCAGTCAGTGGAAACAGGCAGTTGGTGGAGAGTGTAGGTTTTGGATTCATTCTATGTATTCTGCTAAAGGGATTTCAGAATTGGGATAAACAAGCTTGCTTCTCTTTTAGAAGGACTGATTACTTAAAACTTTTCTCATTGTAGAAAGTTTGAAGAAATATACCCCCCAGAAGTAGCAGAGTTTGTGTACATTACAGATGATACCTATACCAAGAAACAAGTTCTGAGAATGGAGCACTTAGTTTTGAAAGTCCTTGCTTTTGACTTAGCCGCACCGACAGTCAATCAGTTTCTTACCCAATACTTTCTGCACCAGCAGTCTGCAAACAGCAAAGTTGAAAGTTTAGCAATGGTAAGTTCTTTTCATTTTGTTGAATGAAGATTCTTGGGTCACGATTAGGGACAAGCCCTGGTTTCATTATACCGCTTTGGTCAAGGGATTCAGTATTTTGGGGACAGATTAATGCTGCAGTACAGATGAAAGCCTGCCATTGGCAAAAGGTAATATAAATTGGGAAAGCACTAGGAGTGGTGGCACGAGGAGGAAGTCTTGGGAAATGGTAGCCAGAAAGGTCGTTTTAAAAGTTACTAAAAGAGGGAAAAAATACAGGATGAGAATGGAGCAAAACACTAAGATAGTGGATTTATTTACAGATGCCGCTGTAGAAATTTTTTTCTATGGTTGCTATTGAGCCAATCTGAAAGACTGGAAAAAATTCAGTCAGAAGGCAAGGATTTGAGGTTTGAATTCCATGGCTCTTGTGCTCATAAGGTATATTCACTTTCTCATTCCAGTTTTTGGGAGAGCTGAGTTTGATAGATGCTGACTCATACCTAAAGTATTTGCCGTCAGTTATTGCTGGAGCGGCCTTTCATTTAGCACTCTACACGGTCACAGGACAAAGCTGGGTATGTATTACGATGTCTTCACACATCTACCTTGTGACTTAAACGCTTGTGCCAGATGTTAAATATTTGTCCTGTACCACTGATGGTTGACTTGATGTACTGACCTGGCAAAACCGTTCAACCATCTGCTCTGTTTAAAGTGTCTTACCTATTTAACAGCACGTTTGTTAGGTAGAAAGCTTAATTATTACTTGCACTTGAAAGGTGTGCTTAAAGAATTCGGGCCATAGGACCTGCTGCTGGCAGGGAAAGTAGTAAAAATTGATCAACGTCAGCATAAAAGAGACAGAATAATGGCTTGAGAAAACTGGAAGATATGTTAGGTGGAGGTGTCAGTACTGAAATTTAACAAACCTCAAGCTTAATGCCAACTACTAACTCGTCGTGTTTAACGTGTTACTAAAAGCAAACACCGGTCTCCTCTACTCCTCCTGTAGCCTGAATCCTTAGCACAGAAGACTGGGTACACCCTGCAAAGTCTCAAGCCTTGTCTCCTGGACCTTCACCAGACCTACCTCAGAGCGCCACACCACGCACAACAGTCAATAAGAGAAAAGTACAAAAGTTCAAAGTAAGTATTAACATGAGAAGACATTAAAGCAGCTTGCTTTCCCGGGCTATTGTATGGTTCAGAGTTCCTTGACATTTTAACTTTATTATAGGATTCACACATCAGGCACAGCCTCCTTAGGAAACTGCTCTCTTAGCAGGCCATGTGTTTTGAATAGGTTGCAGTTAATGCTTTTTCTTGCATTTGAGGGAGAAGAGAGGAGAGGAATGGCACATGCATGCATATTTTGGGGACCAGACAATGATTTTATAACCATTAACTCAATCATATAGAAATAGCATTTTTGAGTTCTTAGTATATACATTATTCCATGACCTTCACCCAATGAATGTTTGCTAAAAATGGATTTTTCTTCCCTACTTACAGGTATCATGGTGTTTCTCTCCTCAACCCACCAGATACACTAAACGTGTAACAGTGAAAGACTGCCTTAAGATGTAAATCACTCAAAGTATATGATGTACAGTTTTTATCCCAGGTTTAATTTTACAATCATTTCTGAATACAGAAGTTATGGTCAAGTACAAATTATGGTATCTATTACTTTTTAAATGGTTTTAATTTGTATATCTTTTGTACATGTAACTATCTTAGATATTTGGCTAATTTTAAGTGGTTTTGTTAAAGTATTAATGATGCCAGCTGTCAGGATAATAAGAATAAGAATTAATAATAAATTGATTTGGAAAACTTGGTTTCTAAGTCAAATTTAATTTGAGATAAAAATTTGACTTTGACTTTGAGATTTCACTCAGAAAAATTAGTTTACTATAGAATGGGGACTGGGAAGGCTTCTCCTAAAGTTAAAAAATAGTTTTAGGAAAACAGACAAAAGTTCTGACTTCATTTTCCTAAGCAACTGGACCAATTTGCTGATGTGGACATAATAAATCTGTGCTTATTTATCAGTTGTGATGATCCAAGACTCTTTCAGCCCTTTGTATACACTATGAAAATGCTTTTTCATTCCTCATCAACTTTTATACTTAACCAAGATGACAATTATTTAAAACCTATTAAGAAGTTCTCCAGAACATTTATTTTAAAGCATAATGTAAAAAACTATACAGTCATGCACTGCATAACGACATTTCCGTCAACGAAGGACCACATATATGATGGTGGTCCCATCAGTTGGTATCGCAGAGCCATGAAATCACCTAAGGATGCATTTCTCATTTCTCAGAAGGTATCCCCGTCTTTAAGCAATGTATGACTGTTGAAAAAAGGACTAGATTTTATAATGGATTTGTGAATAAAAAAATACCCAAGGTTGTTAGCACTGAATAAATACCCTTTTAATAGTTATATACACAAATATACAACTATGTGAGCTTTAATTAGCAGGCCTCTTCTTTTTTCTCTTTTTCACTGGCTTTTTACTTGGTGCTTTTTCTTGTTTTGCACTGATGGTCTTTGTTCTGTGAATAAAGTAAATTAACAATTTACTAACAGTATTAGCACTAGAAGCTGATTCCACAGATGATTTACCAGACTCACACGACTTTCCTTGTTAAATTTTGGATCACCAAAACAAGGGGCCTTACTTACTTTTTTCCAGTAGAATGTAACATTTGCCAACTATGAGAGTAAAATACAGTAACTTTGAAAGACATCCAGCTTTACAGAATTAGGTCCTAATATTTATAAATCTCAGGTTGAAGAAACCACATGAAGAATGAAAAAGGGACGTCTTTGTTTATAGTAGCCTAAGATGAGAATAAACCAGAAAGCAAGCCTCTGAAAGTCTTGAGTATGTATATACATTTGAAATAAACCAGAAATTTGTTACCTTATTTTCTTCGGATTCTTGTCTGGTTCTAAAATGATCATTTCTTCTTCTTCACTGTCTGAGAGTACTATAGGGGCATCTTTAAGAAAATGTTAAGAAAGCAATATAAGTAGGCTCTTGGAAAATTTCCACAAGGATTTATTTCAGCAGTTCTAAAACTCCATTTCCACAGAGAGCCCACGTTACTCTTTAGGTGGAGGCTTACAGATCTACTTGGTTCTTTCCTTCCAGAAGTAACTCCTTAGAGCTCTGAAAAGCAATGTGTACTTTATTTCCTAAAAATTCTTTAATTACAATCATCTGATACATGTCATGATAGAAAAGTTACAGAGAAAAATCTTTAAGAAGATAACACAGTTTATCTTAGAATTTGCTAATGTTGGAGATCTAAATTTTTAATTCCTCTCTCTTAGAAGCAAAACTGGAAGGAAAGTGCCTAGAAGCAGAATTACTGCATCAAAGACACAGACTCTAAAAGATATTTTTGCTAAGTCCCTCCAGAAATATTGTTCCAATTTACTTTCCAAGAAATGGTGTGTGAGGGAACCCATTTTCCTAGACACCCTTGCCAATACTGGTATTTAATATTGTCCAATATAGTAGTCAAAAAGTGCTATCTTATTTTTTGCTTTGAATTTATTTCCTTTATTACTACCAGGGTTGGCCATAAAAGATGTTACTGGCCATTTGTATTCGAGGATTACTTTGTATCTTTTGCCTGTTTTTCTCCTGAACCTTAATGATATATATAAAAAGTGAATTGACCCTTTTCCCAGCTGGTTGTTGGTATATCAATTCTTTATATTTTGAGTTTTCAATTAGTTTTCATCCCTTGTTCATAGCTTTAGAAAGGCTTTACCTGCTCCATCCTCCCAATTATCTTAGGTTCATCTTCATTACTCAGTTGAAAATATTACTCTAAACCAGCAATTGAATGTCTATTAAACTCTGAATCTTAGAAAAATATTTCACAAATATATTAAGAGGCATATGCAAGAATGCTCACTGTAGCACTGTAATACTAATAAGATAATAATATACATTTATCAATAAGGGAATGATTAAGCCAACTAGTTACATTCAACACTAGAGAATTCTATGCAGCATTTAAAAAATGTGGCGATCTATATGTAATAACATGGAAAACCTTCTAAAGATTCATTCACAGTCCCTGTGTTTAAGCAGCTTACATCAGTGAATATGTAGTAAACAAATACATGGAACAAGGTCTGGAAGAATAATACCCGATAGAAATAAGCACTAGGAAAGTTGAATAAAGGTCCTAATCAATGGGGATTTTTTCTTTACAAAACACCCCAGTAGGCTCTCAGTAATGTTTATAGGCAATAACTTCCTTTCTTGAAGGTAGGCAAGTATGTGCATTACACACCTAAACGGTATCACCTTCACTATTTTCTCAGCCAGATTTACTAAGTGCATCCTTTAGTTCTCTGCCAGCCTAGTTCCTAACTCCATCCTTGTAAGATTTCTGTTTTTACTACATAAGAAAAAAATTCATGATTATTGTGTAGTATGGGCTAAGCACGGAGTTGGCTTTCAGAAAAGTAAAAATATCCACAGGTAAAAACAATTTCTCCAGTTCTACAGCTTTCAGAATGCAAGGAACATCTAAGACCACAGTATTCCGGGTACTTCTAGAATTTTGTATGTTCTAATACTGTTCTGTTTAATATGGTAGCCACATGGGGCTATTTAATGTTATATTAACTAAAATTAAATAAAACCTAGAATTTAATTCTGCAGTCATACAAGCCACATTTCAAGTGCTCAATAGTCACATGTGGCTAGTGGCTACTATACTGGACGGAGTAGATAGAGAACATTTCTAACACTGCAAACAGTTCTATTTGGACAGCACTACTCCAATACACCTAACGGTATGGGCTTTTTAAGTCTAGAAATGATACAAAGGAAAAATAGGCAGGAATCAGGTCTTCAAGAAACTCATCCCCTTAAAACTGGCCCAGATATATATACAAAAGGAACAAAACTTTTTAAATTAAAAATTACCACTACATTTACATACCAAAGAGTACCACTACACCAAAAAGATAAACATACTCTTTTGGGAAAGAATTGGAGTTAATATTGCAGATAGCCTCAACAGTTTAGTTGAAATTTAAATCACAAAATATTTAGCTCCTCTAAAAAAGGAACTGCTGATATAAAAATAAGATCCCTAAAATACGGCATACGTTATATATATATATATTCACACACACAGACATACTACATAAAAGCAATAACGTATCACCTACCTTGGCTTCCAATATTAGAGACTTCTACTCCAGTGTCCATTGTTATACTATCGAGAATGATAGCTTCATCACTGCCACCTTCATCCTCATCTTCCTTCTCAGAGTCTTCAAGATCACCCCAGGAGTTTTCTATTCCCTCTCCAATTTGAGCAGTTCCAGGAGTCCATAGCACAGGTTTAGAGACACTTAACAAGTTAAGAAAACTAAGTAACAAAAACATTGCTATTTAATGTAGTGTTGAAAAAGATGAAAATGAGACTTTTCTTCTTTTAAGACTGACTGAAGTGTGCCACAAATTCTTAGGAAAAACCTTCCTAGTTATACGATGGATGGCTGAACAATGAGGAAGGAAAATAAAATTTGTAACTTGGGTAAGATTTTATGGACACAATGGTGAGAAATACCAAGAGGCAGTGGCTCTCAGCATTTTAGTTGTAATAACAAATTTGGTGAATGGCTGAATAAGTAATTTCAAGAACAGTGTAACAGTGTATAAAGTGTGCTTGACCATGCCATTGAGATTAAAGAACAATTTTCCCAAGAAAAATGAAATGCTGTAAATTGGTTCTTAAAATAGAGAATTTTCTCATTTTTGTAGGATAGCTGAAGAGAAGGTAGATGTTACACCATTGACTTAATATGACTCATTATTATCTTGTCTTCTATCTGAAATATTTTCTCTAACAAAGTAGTGTTTCAGAAAACAAATTTCAGGATGTAGACCTGTCACAAAGCCCTAATAATGCCAAAAGTGTTATGAATCTTCTTGTTTCTGAAAAACACCCACTAAAGATACACTTCTGAAGGAGGTTCAGCTTCAGCAATGATTTCTTCTGCCTTCTCCTCTACATCGGAGGTATCAATAGGAGCCTTTTCCATTTTAAATGCTGTGATCCTTTGATTTGCTATAGACTCTGCAAAGCCAAACTTTCCACCTTCTTTCCTGTGTGGGTTTTTTTGGGGGCGGGAAGGGAGTTGGGGTATGATAGGAGGGAAGACAGGAAGGAAAAAAAAGGAAACTCTTTTATCCTTTTGACAGATGAGAACTATTGGAATAGTTATTTGACTAACTTAACCTCACCAATTAATTATGCCTATCAAGAGAAATAACAGAAAGTTCCTATAATTACCATTTATTGAACCATGTGCCAGGCACATGCTAGTGCTTAAAGTATATTACTCTTTAATCCTCAAACCAGCCCTACCAGGTAGGCATGAACATCCCACATTATAGAAGATGCCACTGAAGTGCTGGCTCATAGGTCTTGCTTAATGTCACACAGTAAGAAGCAGAGATGGGAATCAACTCCAGTGTGTGTGCTTTCCGTTAATTTGAGTTATTGATTTTCCTAAGAAAATGTTAATTTTTTTTACAGAAAAATATGTGGCTTTTCAATACAGATTATGTTTAAATTGGAATACAATATAACAGAGTTCAATCAATTTTCAAAGAACATTAGTATATCCAACTGAAATTAATAGATAAGGAAAGATTGAGTGTGAAAATTATATGGTTACCTTCATGCAAGAAAGGTCCATAACAGAAAAATCTATAAAAGAACCATTTAGTTCTAGCAAAATTAAACTTACCTAACTTTCTGGTCATTCTCCAAAGCCTTCTGTATTAGCTCCGTAATTTCCGCTACTTTCACACCAGCGATTTTACTACATCTCAAAACCTATTTATAAAAGTGAATTCTGTTATTTAAAGACAACAAACCAAATATCATTCTCAACAAAACTAAAAACACAAGATTAGTTTTCCTACCTATATAAGCCTGACTTTTTTTTCAAATATGAAAATAATACAATGTGAACACAAATTAAGGCAAGATTT